TACCCTCTGTCTCTCTACTATTTCACCTAGATCCGTTGAGATCTTCACTCTAGTGCCTTTGAAAAAAAGGTAGAGCACCTTCAGAGCTCCGTTTTGATCCGATTGGAATTTGATTTCGGCGTCATTGAAACTTTGTTCTCACTCCATTGATCCCCTAACTTGAGGTAGGGATTTTTCTACACCTTCATATGGTATTTAGCTTAGTTATTTGTCTTTTGTGTAACAATGGTGTGATTTGGGGGTGTTTTAAGTAAAACTAGAGTTTGAGTTTAAGTTGAAAAGAGGGGTCTTCGATGAATAGGAGATAAATGATTGTAGAGTAGGAAAATGATGTTGTATTGCGTCTAACTTGACGATTTTGACACTTGACTAATGTTTGGGGAAAATGGGGGATTTTACTTTAATTGGATCAAATTATTATTTTGTATAATTAATAGAAATGGACATTGAAAATGTGAGATTGGAAGATTATTGATATAAATAGTGGGGTTGGTTATATATTATCTCACTCTTTGGAAATTTTGAATAATTTATCTGTCATGAAATTATATATCTGTTTAGAGATAATTGTATTGGGATATCGGTGGAGGATAGCCATAGTTGTTGTAGAAATTACATGATGATTAGGTAAATTGAAACTAATCTCTTGTTGGTTGTCATTGAATATAACTATGTTTAAATATATTGTATGTGTATGATTGTTTGGCAGGAAAAATGAGATGTACTCCATTGTTTGATTATGTGTTTAAATACATTGCATATATATGAATGTTTGTTTGGGAGGAGAAATAGGATGGACTCCATTATAATTAAGTTGGTCGGAGTGTCCTGGGTGAAAGTCCCAAAATTATACATGGGTGCCGATCCCGTGGACAAAATATCCGTAAAATGGCAAATTGAAATTATACATGGGTGCCGATTCTGCGGACGAAATATCCGTAAAATGGTAGTTTGAAGTGTTTGTGTATGTTTTGTATGATTGGAAAACCATTGAGTTGTAATCTCAGTTTGGTTGTCGAAAAATAATGAATTTGATTCATAAATTAAGATAAATGAATGAATTGAAAATGAATTGGAGGAAACCGGATTATGATTTGAGATTTGATATCTTATGAGTATATAAATCGTGGACGTTGTATTACATGCATTGTTTATACACATTGTACTTATGCCTCTCTTCAATTTCATATATTGTGTTAGATGATTCCTACTGGGCTGTGGCTCACCCTATTTGGGAATAACATTTTTAAATGTTGGTGACATGCCTCCACCAAAGCAATAGATTGGCGGGACTTTTGGGAGCAAGAGTTTCTCTACTTCTGATTATTTCTTTTTATAAAGCCAAGGGCTTAAAATGTATTAAGCGAAGTTTATTGTTATGTAACCAAGCCGTGACGTGGAAAGGTGTAAGCCAAAAAGGGGTATTTAATTATGTTAGACTCTTTTGTACTATTAATGTTATGAAATGAAAGAACTTTACACTCTGATTTCTGCAGTTATTATTTATATTCTGGGTTGTATTTATTGTAAGTTTTGGGGACGTTACAATTGGTCTATAAATTAATTTTATATTCTTAAAATAAAATTTCAAATTTAGATTCTTACTAAAATTATGTTACGATAATTGAAACGAGATCAATATTCATTTCTTAGATTTTGCATCCTTTATTAAATTATAAAATAAAATTTCAAATTTAAATTCTTCTTCAAATTATATTACTACAATTAGAATTAGATCAATATTCACATATGTGATAATGATGTGTCATAATATTATTGGTCTAAATATAATTTGTTTTAAATACATGTGTTCAAATTATTAATTGGTATTAATTTTTTTCTTTTTTTGTTTTAAATTTTATAAAAAAAAATTATATCCTTCTAAACTATAAGGACTTGAACAATAATATTTTTTAATATAATTTTTTTTTTAACAAAAAAACAAAACATAACTTTTTTAGTACTTGCCAAACATGGTGGATTTTGTTGAATCTTTTTTTTTAATCTCAATTGTCAATTAAAAAAATTAAAATAAAGAATAAAGATATTTTTTGCTCAAGTTGTTAAAAAGTTACTTTTGCTAAAATAAATTAAAAAGATACAGTAATTTTTTTATTTATTAAAAGTGATAGTTCGTTAAACTTTTTTTATTTTAAAAAAAAAAGAGATGATTATAGGTGATAATTTATTATTCATCTAAAATTATTTTCAGATTAAATAGAAATAACATATTAAATTTCTTCTTACTGTTTTTTATTCAAATACTTTTATTTTGTAAGAAATTTGTTTTTATTCTATTTAATATTTTATTATAATTTTTAAATTAAAGATAATTTCTAAAAAATAATATTTAAATTATTTATGCCATTATAGAAAGTAATTTTTTTTTAATATCAACTTAGTGGTAATTTGGGAAGTGCTAAATAAGTATACTTTTTTTATTTTTTTATAAAAATATATACAGAAAAAAAAAAGATGTGATGTGACTCAAAAAAGATAATTAAGTATATTTTTTTACTTGTAATTAAGTGTATTTTTTTAATTTTTTACAAAAAGATATGTAGAAAAGTAGAGATGTGATCCAAAAAATATAAAAAGATTAAAAAAAAAAAAAACTGAGCTAATATGACACTTTCCAAATAACCCTATCCATTTCTAAAATGTGTATTTTAAAAATATTTTCAAAAAAAAATTCTATTGGAAATCTTAAGTATATTGCCTTTTCTTTTGTTCATTAATATTAAACTTTTAATTAATTTTATTAATTATTTTAAATAATAAATTAGCAAATAATTTATATATTTTATATATATAATTTTGTTTTAGTTGCTCAGGTTATTTGGTATTTCTATCTAGATACACTCAAATTTAATTTTAAATTTTAAATTTCTGAATAGGTCCTCACTTAATTAAAAACTATACTGTTCAATCTTTAAAAAATTTTAAGCTCGACTCAAGTTGCTTGGATTGAGCTCACCTAAATTTGTAATTCTAGTAAGAGGGTTGAAAGTTCATGATTAAATTTGTGACAAATTAAAAAATAATAAATAAATTGTGATAAAATTGTAGGACTTAAATTGTAAATTTTAATCTTATTTGTTTTTATAATTTACATACAAAAATTTAACTATTTTATATTATTTTGTATAAAAATATAATATGAATTTTTTTACATGATGGACATAACACGGATTATCACTAATAATTTTTTTAATCAAATTAAAATAATAAAAAAGTCAACAAAAAAATAATCAATTTACCACTAGTAATTTTTTTAATCAAATTAAAATAATTAAAAAGTGAACAAAAATAATCAAAAAATTATAAAAAATTTTATTAAATATCTTATATGGATGTGAACTCACATGTGACTCAACTTATATGAAACTCACAGCTATATAAAATATTTAATTTTTAAACTTTCTAATATTAATCATAGAATTATAAAAAATAAAAAAAAAATTTCAATCAAAACACATGTAAGATCACATGTCCAAGACCGATCAATACCTGCTCGATAAAATGACCAACCACTGATTATTTTGAAATAAAAAACAAAAGAAATTATTTTGAAATCCAAGTGAACGTTAAGGGCACATGGCAGCTTTCAGTGACAACTCGACAAAGTCTCCGTCTTTATGTCTCTATGTCTCCAGTTATCAGCCGGAACTGACGACGATTCTTTCCTTTTGTATGCTATCTTGTAAGATCTGCACGGAGGGTTTCTGCAGAAGCATCAGATCAGATGCTAGAATCCCCAAGGGCAAACAGGTAATTTAACATTTCTATATTACAGTATATAATTTCACATTTTTTTTTTGTAAAATATTAAAAAAATTAAAAAAAATTAGTAAAATAGCTTATGGTTGTTTGAATTAGAATAATCTAAATAAATATATTTTTTAAATTTCTATAAATTTTTTTGAGAGAGTTTAGAATTTTTTTTAGTTTGTTTGGTTGTATATTTTGAAAATAGTTTTGAAATTTCAGGGTTTGGGATGATTTGATACTTTATTGTAGTTGAGTAGATGTATGTGAGAGCAAAATGCCTTGTTTGGTTTAACTCTCAAAACATAAATTTTGAAAAAAATTTCTAAAATTTTGTTTGGTTGAAAAAAATTTTAAATTTTTTTTCCAAAATCACTTTCTCTCTCCTATATATCAATTAATCACTTTTTCTTTCTCCTCTCTTCTTCTCAATCACTTTTTCTCTCACACACATCTACTCAACTATAACAAAATATCAAATCATTCCAAATTTCTATATTCCAAACTATTTCCAAAATATATAACCAACCAAACCAAAAAAAATTTAAACTCTTGTCTCAAGATTTTTTTTTAAAATTTATCTCCTACAACCAAACCAAACAAATGATTGAGAAGGAGAGAAGAGAGAAAAAAAAGTGATTGATTGATGTGTAGGAGAGAGAAATTGATTTTGAAAATTTTTTCAAAAAATTTGAGCCAAACAAAATTTTAAAAAATTTTCTCAAAAATTATATTTTGAGATATAAACCAAACAAGCCCACTGTGACTTAAATAAATATATTTATTTAAATAAATATATTTATTTAAAATATGCCAAACAAACTCTTAGGTCTTGTTTGTGAACTATATATTTTAGTCAAAAAATTAAAAGTTATTATAAATTATTACATCATTTTCTTTACTTTTCTGCACATCTTTTAATAAAAACGTAAGGTTTGTTTGGTTTGTATTTGAAGATACAATTTTTGAGAAAAATTTTCAAAATTTTGTTTGATTCAAATTTTTTGACAAAATATTTCAAAATCACTTTATCTGTCCTACACATCAACCAATCACTTTTTCTCTATCATCCCTCTTTCTCAATTACTTTTTCTCTCATACATCTCACACACATCTACTTAACTATAACAACATACCAAATCATTTCAAACTTCAAAATTATTTTTAAAATATACAACCAAACAAACTCCAAAAATTTCTATGATATGTGTATCACGTGTCTGTTATGTTGCGCTGGCGGATGATCGCTGGAAATGCGTTTGCATCGCGCTGGTGGATGACTGCTGGAAATTGTCCAACACATGTCTATCACGTGTCTGTTATATTGCTAGCTTTTTCTATTTAACACTCACAAAAGGCTTCAAAACGTTGAGGATTGATCAAACATACAAGTAACTGAAAATAGAAAAAAATTGTAGAGAGAAACATGGCGGAAATTCGATTCATCTCCGTTGATCTAGTCCAAGCGACTAGTCACCACCATGGTGAATCAACCCATCATAGGATTGAGTTGACTCCATGGGATCTCCAACTTCTCTTAGTTGGCCCTATCCAAAAGGGTCTTCTCTTCCTCAAACCCACACCAACACCAACACAATCACAATCACAACAACAACAACTACCAGTGCTGGCAAACACCATAGTTGATCATCTCAAGATCTCATTTTCTCGCACACTTGACTTCTTTCCTCTCCTCGCTGGCCGTCTCGGTGCCATAAAAAATGACGACGACACCTCCTCGTTCTTCATAGACTGCAACAATGCCGGAGCGCATTTCGTTCATGCCATCGCTGACAATGTCACTGTTAGTGATATCCTTGGTCCCGTGCACGTACCTCGACTTGTCCACTCTTTTTTCCCACTAAATGGTTACCTTAACTATGAAGGCACTTCCAAACCATTGCTTGCGGTTCAAGTAACTGAGCTCCTAGACGGCTTCTTCGTGGGCTGCACCATGAATCATGCGGTTTCTGACGGGTCGTGTTTCTGGCAATTCTTTAATTCTTGGTCCGAAATAGCTCGAGGTTCTGACAAAATATCGCGACCTCCGGTTCTTAACCGTTGGTTTCCTAGTGATGTCGACTGCTCCATTCGAATCCCTTTTTCCTCCGAGCAAATTAGCGATACCTTCGTTTTACCAAAAGTAGAAGAAATGGTTTTTCATTTCACGAAAGAGAAAATTGCAAAACTTAAAGCCAAAGCCAATGCCGAGATGAACACCACAACTATCTCCTCTCTCCAAGCATTACTAGCTCATCTATGGCGATCTGTCGTACGTTGCCAAAACATCAATGACACTAACCAAGAGGTGAAGTACGTTTTCCTAGTGAGTGCGAGGCCAAGGCTTCGACCCCCGTTGCCAGAAGGGTATTTTGGGAATGCAATTAATGGTGAGATTTTACGTGCCGCGGTGGAGGAGGTGGTGGGGAAGGGACTTGGTTGGGTGGCTTGGCAAATGAATAAAGCGATTGCTTTGCAGACGAATGATGGGATTAGGAAATTGTACGAGGATTGGGTAAAGAATCCAAAACTATTGAAAATGAGTGTGATGACAAACAATGCCTTGACGACTAGTAGTTCGCCTCGGTTTAATGTGTATGGGAATGACTTTGGTTGGGGAAAACCAGTGGCGGTGAGAAGTGGCAGCGCGAACAAGAGTGATGGGAAGATAACGGTTTTTCCCGGGGTGGAAGAAGGGAGTATTGACATTGAGGTTTGCTTGTTGCCTCAGAAGTTGGTTGCTATGAGGGATGATGAAGAGTTCATGGAGGCTGTGACTATGTGATCCATGTCAAGTTTGGCTTCGTTTGAGGTTTGTTTTTTCAGTCATTTTTCTTGGATTTTTTTTTATTATTTATTTAACCAAAAAATTAAAATTAAAATTAAAATTAATGCGTTGATTTTTTTTTTTTTTTAATTATGAATTGTGTTCTAGTAAGTTTTAAATTTTGTAAATAACTTTTTAACTTGTCAAATGAGACCTTTATGAAAAACGACAATGGGAGCGACCACATATATAAAATTAAAAAAAAGAAAGAAAAAGCACTAACATATATAATACAAATTTTGAATTTTCATGTTAGCATTTCAATACCAATAAATAATTATAGTTATCATAATATTCATGCTTAGTTTTGGTTTCCAAAAAATACTTTTTAGAAAATTTTATTATTTTATTTTATTTTATTTTAAGCAATTTTTAAAATTTTTAGACACACCTAACATAAATATACTTAAAAAATATAATATTTGTGATTTTTTTTTAAAAAAAAAATCACTAAATACCAAAAAAAAAAAAGTACATTTTTCATATTTTTGCGTATTTATTAATTTTTTAAAATATTTTTTCTCAAATATTTTACTATTTATCCAAAAAAGTAAAAAAAATTACTTAAAATTTTAAAAATATTCACTAAAAATAAAAAATACGAAAAATAAAAAAATTAATTTCCAAAAAACTAAAACCGAATGTACTGAATGTCATTTTGTCTTTCTGATGTACTTAAAGAAAAGAAAAAAAGAAATCCAATCTCATTTTTGTATACACATAATCAAGCAAGATAAATAGTTAAGATGGAAACCAGCACTCATGCCTAACAACACCTCCAACTCAAATTTTTTTATTTTTTATTTTTTTATCAGCAGAGAAGGTTCTTACTAAAAATAGAATCTCACACTTAGAGCATCTCCAACGGTAGTAGACATTTTACCTATCTAAATATTACTATAAAGTATATATTTTATTTTCCTATCGACTGCTTTATGTTTTTACTCCAACCATGCTCTTTATTTTAGTTATTTATCCAAATACTATTAATTTTATAGAATGTCACGTCAACAACAAAGATGGAGGGAAATGATTGAATACATTTTGCCTAGTATTGAAGGCTAGCTACATGTAGCTAGTGAATATGAGTTGAGGCAAAATGCCTAATCATATGCCTAGTGCATTGGAATTGAAAAAAGTGAATCACACTAGGCATTTTAACTAACAAGTATTATATGTCTAGTGCATTGGAGATGCTCTTACTTAATTATTGTGATATGCTGATGAATTTGATACTCTTTGTGGTAGTAGTTTATTTGGGCTTGGGTATGGGCTTGGGCATGGGCATGGTGAGCTTAGTATATTAGTTGTGTTGAATTTTGTTGATTTTCTCACTATTCTGAGTTGATAGTTTGTTTGATGATGTTTATATTTATAATTACTCTCTTATTGATTGATAAAAAAAAAAAAAATCATCCTTACTAAGGCTCCTTTTGCGAATTGACAATTTTATTTTAAATTTTACTTTGATTTTTTTAGTTTTATACGTAGCCTTTTTTCATAGAAGCGGACACACAAGGGGGGCACTGCCTGTAAAAACATTTCAGAATTGTTAACTATTCTATAATTTATAGAGAATTGGCCCCCTCAAAGGTTTTTTATTTTTATTTTTTTAAAGTCCCAATTTGTTTGAAGGTTTAGCTAAGGTGATGCTGCTGCAGTACATATGTATATCATATACAAGTTATGATTTAAATTAATATTACATACCACTATATTGGTGGCGTTAGAAAATTATCAAATTAAAACTGGTTACATCCCATTATGATATTTAATTATTTTTTAAAGTGATGTTGATTATGAGTTATTGTATATTAACTTTGGCATTATAGAACACAATGAAGAAGGTAATGAAGCATTATTTGATCGGTGATAGGAAAGGTGTGCGGTTGATGTTTGTTCAAATGGTATTGTTTGCCTGGTGGTGTTTTGTTGTGTCTTCGAATATAGAAGACGACCAAGGGAAATTACTGACATTTATGATATGTTTGATTGGATGTACTGAATAAGGGGGATTAGAATCTATTGGACTTGAGTCTTAGGACTGTGAATCTTCGGACTATTTGGTTAGATTGGATATGTATCCTGTGTTTGTTTTTTCATGGGATTAGATGTTTGAAAAGAACTATTTTTAGTGAATCCAATGTTTGGTTGGACGAACTGGATAGGATAAACGAACAAAAGATTATTTTATCATTTTTTAATTATTTACTAAGTAATAGCAATATTAAACATATCTTTAATATTTTAATTATTTTTAGCTAGATTAAATAAAAATTTATTTTATTTTATTTTTTACACAATTAAATAAATTTATTTTTTAAAATTAAATAAATAAAATATCAATAAAAATATATGTTATTTTTTTAATTAAAATTTTAAATAAATTTGTTTTTAAAAATAATAATAATTAAACAATGAAATTAAATAAAACATCTATTAACCTTTAATTAATGATATTAAATAAAATATAAACAAAATTTTAAAATAAAATATCAATAAAATATTTATAAAAAATTATTTTAAAAATTAAATAAATAAAATATCAATAAAAAGTTAAATAAAATTATTTTATTTTTAAATTGAGACATTTAAATTTTATTGAATTTTACTAAATATAATACATAATTAAATAGTAGAGGGTCAAAATAATCATTTTACCACCTAATCCCAACAGTAAATTGTCCTCCAAAATTGTCCCACACCCCCCTCCCGGGATAGTATAATCCCCCATATGGCGAATAAGGAGTCCGGTCGGACTCCATGTCCGGCGGACTAAAAAAAAACAAACGGTGGACTACTCACTCCTTTGAATAAGCAATCCGAATAGTGAATAGTCCCCCCTAATGTAACAACTCAGATTTTTAATTATTCAAAATTACATCAAAATGATCAATCCATCTCCAATATTACATCTCCAATAATGTAACCAATCCATCTCCAATATTACATCAAAATGATCAATGTTCAATGGCAGTAAATCAATAAACAGATGCACATCCCCAACAATAATTTCACATGCGGGGTACATATAAGCACATGTCATGGATCCCCCTACGGGTGATGATACGGCTAGCAGATAGTTCATAGGTTCTAAGTTAAAGATTAATTTATTTATATAATTATAATAGAATTAGGGTCCAAATGTAATTATAAGAAATTAATTAGATAATGATAAATCTTGAGGGATTTAAACCCAAATCTTGGCGTGGACACGTGGTGGCTAATGAGAGGGTTTGCCTTCCTATACGTGGGAGAAAATTAGGATCAGTGTAAGAGAGAGAATGAAAAGGAAAGGGAAGAAAGAAAAGGAAAGGAAAGAAAGGAAAAAAAATAGTGGAGGCTGAAAGGGTACGTGATAGCGGAAAAAAAGAGTAAGGTATTAAAGTTAATGTGAGTTATATTATATCTTGAGTCACCAAAATATATTTTACATATGTTTTGACTTATCAAAATCTGTTTTATACAAGTTATATTTTTAATAAAAGTTATGTTTTATAAAGATTTTAGTTACATGGTTTTATTTCTAAGCCCTATTTGTTTAAAAGGAAACCCATGAATATGTTTGTTTTTCTTTTAAAGAATATTTGGTTATGACCTTATATAAAATTATGTTATGTAAGTACCACCACAGGAGTCTCATGCCTTGGAGGACTTAAATAACTTGGCTTCTGTTTGGTTACATTGTGCCCCTCTGATCCATTGACTTCTGTTCTGTGCGGACCAAAGTGCTGTGCGGAGCTAAGTGCTACACTATTGTGGGAGCCACCTCTAGAATCCGTACAAGTCGCCTCTTGCATCCGTACCTCTGTTCTGTGCAGAACAAAGTGCTGTGCGGAGCTAAGCGCTACACTCTTGTAGGAGCCACCTCTAGAATCCGTACGAGCCACCTCTTGAATTCGTACATCTGTTCTAACTGTCACTTCTGTGACCTCTGTTCTGTTCTGTTCTGTACCGTGGTTATGGTTATATATTTACATAAATCTGTATTCCAGTTTCTGCTACTTAAAAGATTTGGTTACTAATGATTTATTTACTAAACTGAGTTATGTAAATATTTTGGCCTAATTAACTATCCATGGTTATTTCGTGTCCCTTATACTCTTGGTATAATATTTCTCACTCTGCCACGTGTTTATAGTTGTTTACCAATTTTCAAGAACCAATGCAATTCAGAAATAGCCTTTGGAAAATCTTAGATGCGGGGCTGCGGAATAGACATATACAGTATTTTTATTGATATTTTTCTATGTAAATATCGGCCTTTTTGATCAATATATTTTGTAATAAAAATAGAAACTCCAATGATTATTTTGGTACCCTTACTTAAATATTACTTCCACTCGCATTTATTGATTTGTTTAAGAATTGGCCGGAGGTAACCTCAGTTACTGGCCATCACGATGCTTAACCCTTGGGTACGGGGAGCGGGTCGTGACAAATGGTATCAGAGCAATATTTTTTTTAACAAAAAAAAAAAATAACATCATTGGAGTATAGGACACACGCACATTTAAGAAGTAGAATAGCGGGTAATTAGTACCGAATTATTATATTTTGTTCGTTGATTTAATTATATTATAATTTTATATGATTATATATATATAATAAAAAAAATTTAGGTGCATAATTTGTGAAGAATATTCGATATAATTTATATTTGTTATAATAAAAGAAGGAAAAAAACAGAGGATGTCGGGTTCAATCACCTATCAAAATTATAATATAATTAAATATATATAATTTTCAGTTCAGTATTCAAAAAAAAATTTATTTTGATGTTTTTTTTTTTAAAACGTGGATAAAAAGACAGAGATGTAGAGATTGTTACACAACTTTAGAGAGGGAGTGGCTTTTATCGGGAAAGGTAGGATCATTTTTTCCATATTCTTGGCGTTTACCATAAAAGGTAGGTTCGTTTTTACCATGTAAAGTTGGGGTATCAATGTTGAAAGTTTTGACATTTCCAATTTAACTTCATTTGCTTTACTAGTAACTCTCCCTAGAAAAGCAAACAATTCATGGAGCCTAATCTTTAAAGTTGAAACAACTCGAAAATTTAAGTTGTCCCTTAAATTTTATACTAGTATTACGGTTGTATGTGATGATATATTATTAAATAAAAAGTAACAAATACCGAATCTAATTTGGCATTGGATTATCAAATATGGGATTAATTAGGGAATATTATTTGGGTCCAAATTAATGGAAATATGGAATTATAATACTAGTTGGGTCAAATTAAAGTAAAAGATAGTAAATAAATAAATATAAAACTATGAGTAAATAAATAAATAATAATTATAATAATAATAATAATAATAATAATAATAATAATAATAATAATAATAATAATAATAATAATAATAATAATAATAATGGGTGCGGTTGTAAAAAAAATAATTAATTTGCTGTTGGTATACGATAGAGTGTAATTTAATTAGAGATTAATTTATTTATATAGTTATAATAGAATTAGGGTCCAAATGTAATTATAAGAAATTAATTAGATAAGGATAAATCTTGAGGGATTTAAACCACACGTGGTGGCTAATGAGAGGGTTTGCCTTCCTATATATATGGGAGAAGATAGATTATGGGAGAAGATTAGGGTCAGTGTAAGAGAAAGAATGAAGAGGAAAGAAGAAAGGAAAAGAAAGGAAAGGAAACAAAGGAATAAAATAGTGGAAGTTGAAAGGGTTTGTGATAATGGAAAGAAAGAACAAGGTATTAATGTTTATGTGATTTATATTATATTTTGAGTTATTAAAATGTATTTTATATATGTTTTGATTTACCAAAATCTGTTTTACACAAGTTATGTTTTATTAGTATATTAATAAAAGTTATGTTTTATAAAGATTTTAATTACGTGGTTTTATTTCTGAACCCTATTTGCTTAAAATGAAACCCATAGATATATTTGTTTTATTTTTAAAGAATATTTGGCTATGACCTTATATAAAATTATGTTTTGTAAGTACCACCACGAGAGTCCCATGGGGACTTAAATAACTATTGGCCTCTGCTTAGTTACTTTGTGGCCCTCTGATCCATTAACCTCTGTTCTATGCGGACCAAAGTGCTGTGCGGAGCTAAGTGCTACACTATTGTGAGAGCCACCTCTTGAATCCGTACCTCTGTTTTGTGCGGAGTTAAGTGCTACACTCTTGTGGGAGCCACCTCTTGAATCCGTACGAGCCACCTCTTGAATCCATATCTCTGTTCTGACTGTCACTTCTATGACCTCTGTTCTGTTCTGTTCTGTTCTGTTTTGTACCGTAGTTATAGTTATATATTTACATAGGTGCCGTTTGGTAACACTTACGTTTTCAGTTTTCTGTTTATATTTACAAAAATTTTAAAAACTCAAATAAAAACTTGTTTGGTAAAATTTTTGATTTATAAATCAGTGGTCTCAGTTTATAAATTTGGCCAAAAAATGAAAACACAAAAAATGTGTTTCCATTTTGAGTTTTCAGTTTTTTTTTTTTTTTACCACCCAACACTAGCCACCACCCGCCACCATTTTCCACCACCGTCTTCCGCCTCGGACGGTGGTGGTGGCGTGCGCGTGTGTGGTGGTTTTGGCTAAGGTTTACTTTGTCCGTAACTCCTCTCTTCTACAAACTTGGGGTGCCCCTTGGGGCCCACCCAAGGCCTCGTTTGGGAACCATCCCTTTTAGCAAAAAAGTCAAAAAGTTACTAAATCAGCCAAAAAGTCAACACCCCATACCAAAAAGTCAAATATTCTCTTTTCTCTTTACTTTTTGCACATCTTTTCGTAAAAAGTTAAACAATCATCTCAAGCATATTAATTTTGTTATATCATATTTTAGTCAAAAAAATAAAAAATTATTAAAATAACATATTTCCAAATGAGTTAACCTATATACTCATTTTTCATGATAAAATTTAGAATACATTTTCATGTTGGGTAGCACTTTTAAAATAATAAATTACATTTTTTTATTGGAAGAACTACATACATGTGGGAGTTGGAAAAGAAAATTATCAATACCTAGAGGGATACAAGTGGCACTTGCGCCCCCACAATCTTTTATTTGTATCCCACACTATAGACATACTTGCATCTCCCATATATTTATAATTTTTTCTCCCAACTCCCTCCATGTAATTATCCCTTTCTTATTCAACCATACTGCAAAAAGCAATTCTAGCCTTTCAAATTAGGGTTAATTATAAAAAATACAATTTTACATGTATTGTTATATTTATATTTTATGCCATTAATTTGGTAATTTTCCTGTGCCTGTAATCAATCATGGTTATTCTATGAACTTTAATTTTCTCTGTTATAAAGAGATCACTCACGGTGAAACTGATAAGCTTTGATCATCCACACAAGAGAGAAAAAGAGAACTGAGCTTCTTCAAAGTCTCTCTAAAAATATAATCCATGGAGGTCCAAGACAAACAACATCCAAGCCATGATGAAGAACAAGTGGTTGTAATCATGGTGCCTTTTCCATCCCAGAGCCATCTAAACCAGCTCCTCGAACTCTCCTGTCTCATCTCCTCCTACAACATCCCAGATTCCCAGTTCACTATGCCTGTTGGGGCACCCACATTCACCAAGTCAAAAAACGCTTCAATGGCACAAGAAACCATATTGATGATGTTAATTCCAACTTCATTTATTTCCAGAAGTTCCCCACTTCTCCAAATCTCTCACCATCGCCTTTTGAATCCTCTTTTCATCTCCGCCAACCCGTAGCTTCACTCTTACAAAAAATATCTCCCACAACCAGAAGAGTTATCATCATCCACGATGTCGTCATGGCTTATGTGATTCAAGACGGTGCTACTCTACCAAATGTAGAATCATTTGCTTTTAATCCCATTTCTGCGATCATCAGTTTCTTCGATGGATGGAAAGTTATGGGAAAACCTTTCCAGAAGCGACAAGAAGTACCAGAAGGGTTGCCATCTATGCAAGATTCAGGCGTCACTGCACCTGAGCTTGTAAATCTTTCAAGTCTTCACTCTGATTTTAGATCTGGAAGTATCATTAATTCATGCAGATCAATCGAAGGTCCTTATATCGATTTGTTAGAAAAGGAACACATTGCTGCAGACCAGAAGCAATGGGCAATTGGGCCATTGAACTTATATGACAGCATAAATTCAAAAGGCCAACACAAATGTTTGGAGTGGCTTGATAAGCAAGCTCCAAATTCTGTGTTGTATGTTTGGTTCGGATCGACAACTTCAATGACAGACGAACAAATCAAAGAGCTTGCAATTGGGCTAGAACAAAGTGAGCAGAAGTTCATCTGGGTGTTCAGACATGCAGATGAGGGATCCATTTTTTCAGAAGATGTCAAGAGAGGTGAACTGCCAGAAGGGTATGAAAGAAGACAGAACACTCACAGAAAACAGCAACCAAATGGCGACTAAAATGAAGAATTTACGTCGCTCGAAAGTTACCAAATGGCGACTAAAAAACTTGATTTAGATCGCCAAAAAATGAATGCCTTTTGCGACTAAAAATGAATTAAAGTCCGCCGAATACCAAGGATTTAGCGACTAAACGTTTGGTTGGTCGCCCGAATGTAACCAGTTTTAGGCCGACTAAAAAGGGTGTGTTGGATAGGCCAAAAGCGACGGTGTTTTGGCGACTAAAATAATTTAGCTAGCCAAAAGTTCTGGTTTTGGCGACTAAAAACCATTTGTCGGCCGATTATGGGTCCTCTTGCCCGAACTGAAAAAAAGATTAAGTCGCGAAAAATGAAGATTTTTGAGCTACAAAAAAAAATTAAGTAAGCTAAAACAAGTGAATTGGCGACTAAAATTGTCAATTTCCGTAGTGCCAAAACGGAGGACGTTTTGGCGACTAAAAAAACCAGATTTAGCATCGGGCGAAAAAGTGGCTATTTTTACAATTTAAACATAATTTTTTTAGCAGACAACAAATTAAATTAGTAGCCCAAAAATCATAGAATTGCGGCGACATAAATAATTGATTTAGTCGGCCAAAAAGGTGGCCTACATTTTTTTTAATAATAATTTAATTTTTTACATAAATTATATTCAATAAAAAATTAATATTTACAGATATAGGTTTTGTATAAAACCGGTCAAAATAGTAATATAAAAATATATATGCATATATAATCATGTGAGGTTCAAGTGGCATAGTGGGCGGGAGTCATGTTTGGTAAGAGGTGTTGGCACTTGGAAATGGTATTCACGGTCGAAATCTCAGAAAAACCAAAGAATTTGTTTTTTTTTTTTTTGTTTAAGGAAGAACCTTTGGCGACTAAACTTTAGTCGGGCCAAACAGATGTTATTTTGGGCGACAAAATTGTACTTAGATCGCGAGATACATGGACATATTGGAACCGACTAAAAATTCAGTTCGCGATCAAATGTGCTCTGTAATTAAATGTGTAATGCAACCAAATGGCGACTAAACATTTGATGGTCGCTAAAAGAGCTATTTTTTGCCGACTAAAAAAGTTTAGTCGCCGATACCATCTTCGCGACCATATTAAAATGCGCGACAAAGGGGCCGACTAAAAAAAATTAGTCGCTGAAAGCAAAAACTCACTTTCGGCGACTAAAAGTGGCCAAAGTGATTTTCTTGTAGTGGATGAAAGAAGCTGGAATGGTGGTGA